TAAGTTGTAAAGTTATGCTATTTCCGGACGAATTTTTGAACTGATTCATTCATTCTTGTCAAGTCACGAAACGAAAGTTGTCTTGAACGGCGACTCTTCTAGATCTTTCTGATGTAATGATGGTGTCCTCCAGGATTATATCCTTGGACCAAAGCTGTTCTTAATCTTCATTAATGTCCTTCTTGATGGCGCTAGTTCTCAACTTGATATCTTATCTATGCTGATGATGCAACTATTTAATCCTGTCTTAATCGCGAGTCTGATCAGTTTGATAAAATCAAACTGGCGGCTGACTTTAAAACTGATTTACAATCTTTTGTTAACTAAGGTAAAGAATGGCTTGTTAATTTTAACACTTCTAAAATGAAACTGGTCTCTATCAATTATCTGAGAGAACCCTACCTGCCATCCATCAGCTGATGCTGACCTCCAGGAAAGTGATTTGTTGCGCCTCCTCAGTCTTTTTCCACTGACATGAAGTAAAAATATTATTTTCATATCATTTTTCTAGGTCTTCTACTAGGAAAGTTGGTTCACTGTGTCGTATTAGTCATTTTTTCATCCAGAATCCATTTTACACATTTATTTACTATTCGTTTTTGCTTTGAATATTTCTGCAACATCTGGTCTGAGGCTCCTCCTATATATTTAGAGATTCTTGATAAAATACAAAGAAGAATCTACAATGTTATTGATCCTGATCTGACATTTGACTTGAGTCAACATTCTCAATGGCTGTAATAAAGGTTCGAAAATCTGCCCACGGTGGAGTAATAGAAAGGAACCGGATTGAGGAATCGGAGAGCAATAGTTTGAATACCAGTCGAATCCATTACATTCATTTCGTGCTAATAACCTTGGGAAAGGTATAAATCCATTTCCTTTCCCCACCAGTGATGGGTAAAAATCAGGACAAACCGGATTCTATAGCCTATGAAAAAATAATTCGTCATCTATGTATCAAAGATACATGATCGCCTATTGCGTGTATCACGAATTTATTTAACTGACGGACTGACTTACCCAGTCCAATGGCATTACATTCACTTACAAATGCTATTAACCTTGGGGAAAATAAAAAATCTCTTCTTTTTTTTTAGGTATGTAAAATATCAGGACAGACCGGGTTCTATAACGTAATGATAACAATTGGTTGTTCACAGATAAAAATGGCAACCTATTGCTGAAAAAATCTGCCTCGTCAGTCATGTATCGAAAGATACATGATCGCCTAAGTGTGTCTCCGGCGTGGCACATAACTGACTGACTGACGTTCCAGTCGAATCCATCACATTCACTTACGTACTAATGCCTGGCATACATATGAAAGTTTCCATCTAACGAGGCTATTTAAGAACATGTCTGGAGTTTTCAGGCTTATGTTTTAGTTTCGTAGCAATTGGCGGTATTGGGCGAAACTAGCTCTGGTACATTCTATTCTATGTTCAATTTCTTTTTCTCCTATAATTAATTTATTATAACTGATCCATCTGCTGAGGTATCTGAAGTGTTTACCAATTCCATATCCAGATTTTTTATGATGGATTTAGGGTAGGTGCCATGAATTCTTTCATTCCAATTCCAGATCATATTTTCGTGGAATTCACAGTGGCACTATGAACACGACTGCGGTCGGCGTTTGAGATGAATTTCAAATTTTTTTCTTTTTTCATTCAGAATCCTTTTTCAAAAATGATATTTTTTTTCTTTTTGACATGACTGGTCAATATGAATGAATGCCAAACTGGGTCCTGGGTATGACGATAATCTACATCCGCATCCTGGGTAAGACGATAAACTACATCCGCGTTCTGGGTAAGAGATAATCTACACCCGGGTCCTGGGTGAGACGATAAACTACGTCCAACAGCAAGGCCTTTGATCAGGAGTTTTTGAGGAGCATGAACCATCTCTTAATTGCTAGTGTTCCCAGGTCCACTTTGACCCAGGGTGGTAGCACCTGTTATATATATCTATATTTTTTGATATTTAAGGAGAACCAAAACTGGAGTCAAAGCACTCATAAAAGTGTAAAAATGGGTTTTAACACCAGAAATACATTGTAAAAATTATTACCAGCAATAAAATTTTGAAGAAAGCTTATTGCCAGCAATACATTTTTGAAAGAAAAAATTACCAGCAATAAAAAATTTTGTATTTTAAATAACCCATTGAGGTTGATAATAAATTAAACCAAAAAAAACCAAACCATATATACTTATCAGATAGATAGATAGATATATAGATAAAAATATTAGCAGGTTAAAAAAATCTTTTGTCGGCATTAAATAACCCATTGATGTTGATATGCCATAAAACAAAACAAATCAAACCAATATATACTGAGATACGTAGATAGATAGATAGATAGATAGATAGATAGATAGATAGATAGAAATAAAAATCTTGTCGGCATTAAATAACCCATTGAGATTAATATGCCGTAAACCAAACCAAAAAAAAAAAATATATATTCATAGATAGATAGATAGATAGATAGATAGATAGATAGATAAAAAATATTACTACCAATCAAAATCTTGTCGGCATTAAATCACCCATTGAGGTTGATATGCCGTAAACCAAACCAAACCAAACCAAACCAAACCAAACCAAACCAAACATAAAGGTAATCTATTTCCACATTGAAGATCTCTTTTATAGTACTCTGCTATATTCGACATAATTACATGACGTGCAAATGTTATTAATAAATTTAATGTCTTAAAAGTTTTATTCGACATTACAATTTAAATTAAGGTTTTCTATTTTAATTTAATGTTTAGGATAATTTTTTTCTAAACTCATCTGCCGATAAAAATACAGGAATAATTCTTTCTATTTCATTTTTTAAATTTCCAGTAAATGTTTCTAACTTCCTATCTGATGTCGCTCGTTTGGAATATAGCTCTCCACAACATCCTATCATTTGCAGTACTAAGCAGTGTTTGCCATAACTGTTCAAAGTTCTTTGGGTATATGGCTCTCCACAGCTTCCCATCCTTCGTGGTTCTAAGCAATGTTGTTTCCTTACTATCTTTTTCATAACTGTTCAAAGCTCGTTGGGTATATGGCTCTCCACAGCTTCCCATCCTTCGTGGTTCTAAGCAATGTTGTTTTTTTTACTATCTTTTTATACCTTTTTTCAATTCTTTTTGTATGGATTTCCACAATTTTTAGCCTTTGCAGCTTTAAACAATAATTTCCTTTTTATCTCTAATATTTTGACTGTTCAGAGCTCGTTGGGAATCTGACTCTCCACAACTTCCTGTCCTTCTCCGGTATTTTCATTCTTTGCTTCTCTAAGCAATGTTTGTCCCATCACTAAATTTTATGTCCCTATTCAAAGCTCCTTGCGTATATAACTCTCCACAACTTCCTATCCTTTGCAGCTCTAATTCAGTATGTGTCCCTTTACTATCTATCGTAACCCAGAAAAGGTTACTGAATGAGGAATAACCAAAACAGAGATTGGAAATGAAATGGTAATCTTTATAACATCAACAAAATACTATACTTTTGTAGCGGCGTGAAGTAGGTAAACCACTGCTAGTGATGGACTATTAGACACCATATTAAACCCCAATTACAATAGTGTCCAAAATATATTTATTTTGGATTGGGACATATCCATTAGTGTTCATAGATACGGTATATAACACTATCTCTCACAATCCATGTTCAAAGCTCGTAGGGCATAAGGCTCTCCACATCTTCCTATGCTTTGCAGCTCTAAGAACTATATATTCCCTTACTATCTCTCACACTCCATGTTCAAAGCTTGTTTTTTATGGCTCTCCACCAGCATCCTTTGCTTTGCATTTAAGAAATATATGTTTTCCTTACTATCTTTCTTTTAAACCATGTTCAAAGCTTGTCGGACATATGGCCCTTCACAACTTCCTATCCTTTGTAGCACTAAGCACTATATGTCCCCTTACTAACTCTCATACTCCATTTTCATAACTCGTTGGGCATATGGCTCTTCACAACTTCCTATCCTTTGCAGCTTTCAGTATAATCTTTCTACTTCATGTCAGCGGTTAACGTTAGAATGAGAAGGCCCCGTGAATCACTTTCTTGGAGGTTAGCATCAGCCATGCCGATGGAAAGTGAAAAAAGATGTTCTTTCAATTTGTTTCTAAGTTTCTATTTGCTTGAACTGTTCCAATCATTATTACCAATGATCTTCATACCTGACAAGTTTTGATAATAAAATTACATATTCGTTTTTATTGACATTCCAGAAAAAAAAATTCTTTTCTTACTCATGGCATTAATGACTGCCATTATGTTTAAATTGTTCTTCAATTCATTTCAGAGTAAATTATGAACATTGATATGGAATCAACTTCATTTATTTAAAGAAATAACGATTGAATATCTACTTATTTCATTTTTTTAATATACTTTTGAGACTCATTCTTCGATCGTGTAGCCTGAAGCAAGGAAAAAAAAAAACCCATTATTATTGGCAATTTTTTGGAAAATGAAATAGTGCTTTTTTGTCTAATGGATTCTTACAATTACTATTCTTGTTCCTGTTTCGATTTTTTCATATATATATATATATATATATTTTTTTTTTTTTTTTGAATGGTGGCAATTTGACTAAATCCTTTATAAAGGGGGATTTATAATTGGGAAATAAAACTTACGAGTGAAGTGTGTCAAAAGTAAGTAAAATTATTTATACTAGTTTTAACCCGTGAAAATTTCACGGTTTTCCTATTTTAATATTCTGATGAATCTTACGTTAATGATTGAATAAGGTCATAATTCAAACTTCTAAGACAATTCTTTCCTTAGAAATTCCCCTATCGTATCCTTAAATATTTGAGATCCTCTTCCTTTAATTTGGGCATTGCAACAGCAATCATAAATATGAATGCAGGTCGTTATTTTAAGTAAATGGGTACAAATGAAAAGATTTGAAATTGGCAACATATTCATTCACTGAAACAGACGTTAAATACTTCCATTTTCCCTTCCTTCCTTCCATGCTTTCTTTTTTTTTCCTTCCTTCCTTCCTTGCTTTCTTTTTTTCCTTCCTTCCTTCCTTCCTTCCTTCCTTTTTCTTTCTTCCTTCCTTCCTTCCTTCCTTCCTTCCTTCCTTCCTTTTCTTCCTTTCTTTCTTTTATTTTTTTTCTTTTCTTCCTTTTTCCTTCCTTCCTTCCTTCCTTCCTTCCTTTTCTTCCTTCCTTCCTTCCTTTTTTTCTTCCTTCCTTCCTTTTTTCTTCCTTCCCTCCTTCCTTCCTTCCTTCCTTCCTTCCTTTAGGTTTTTTTCCTTCCTTCCTTCCCTTCCTTCCTTCCTTCCTTCCTTTCTTTTCCATTTTCCTTCCTTCCTTCCTTTCTTTTTTTTTCCTTCCTTTTTTTTTCTTCCTTTTTTTCCTTCCTTTCTTCCTTCCTTCCTTCCTTCCTTCCTTCCTTCCTTCCTTTTTTTCCTTCCTTCCCTTTTTTCCTTCCTTCCTTCCTTCCTTTCCTTCTTCCTTCCTTCCTTTTTTTTTCCTTCCTCCTTCCTTTTTTCCTTCCTTTCCTTCCTTCCTTCCTTTTTTTTTTTTCTTTTCCTTCCTTTTTCTTTTTCCTTCCTTCCTTTTTTTCCTTCCTTCCTTCCTTCCTTCCTTCCTTCCTTCCTTCCTTCCTTCTTTCTTTCTTTCTTTCTTTTTCATTCATTTTTTTTTTCACTGAAAACAAGTAGCGTAGTTATTTTGTTTTTCTACGCAATCAAAACAGAATAGGTCATTGTTTATTAGGTATTGGCAGACGTTAAACACCTCTTTCTTTCTTTTTTCTTTCTTTCTTTCTTTTTTCTTTCTTTCTTTCTTTCCTTTTTTCTGTCTTTTTTCTTTTTTCTTTCTTTCTTCTTCTTCTTTTTCTTTCTTTTTAATTTTTCTTTCTTTTTCTTTCTTTTTTAATTTTCTTTTTTCTTTCTTTCTTTTTCTTTCTTTTTTAATTTTTCTTTTTTTCTTTCTTCTTTAATTTTTCTTTATTTTCTTTCTTTCTTTTACTGAAATCAAGTAGTGATTTTTCCTTTTTATCAAGCAATCAAAACGGAATTGTCAATAATTATTAGTTATCGGCAGGAGGAACGGTCGTGTGAAGCGGGACACGCCAGATCATAATACAATTATTGCCTTCGTCCTCACTATGTGCACCTTAAGGTTTTTGTTTGCCATTTGGATGAAATAAATTATTATAGGGAATTCGACGTGGTGCAATTTTTAGTAAGCTTGCCTTGATAGATCAATTAAGACTGAATAGTGAGTTCGATCCTCACAGGGTGCTCCATACTTTCTGCCTTGTGCCACACCTAAACTACTCTTAGAAAATCACCATTTCTTTATATTTCATATGTGTAGATCAATTACGACTGAATAGTGAGTTTGATCCTCACTGGGTGCTCTATACTTTCTGCCTTGTGCCACACCTAAGCTACACTTAGAAATCACCATTTCTTTATATTTCATATCAAAGATATTTAATTATGACTGAATAGTGAGGTCGATCCTCACTGGGTGCTTTATACTTTCTGCCTTGTGCCACACCTAAGCTACACTTAGAAAATCACCATTTCTTTATATTTCATATCGCTAGATCAATTATGACTGAATAGTGAGGTCGATCCTCACTGGGTGCTCCATACTTTCTGCCTTGTGCCACACCTAAGCTACTCTTAGAAAATCACCATTTCTTTATATTTCATATCGCTAGATCAATTATGACTGAACAGTGAGGTCGATCCTCACTGGGTGCTCCATAAAGAAATGCCTTGTGCCACACCTAAGCTACTCTTAGAAAATCACCATTTCTTTTTATATTTCATATCTCTAGATTAATTATGACTGAATAGTGAGGTCGATCCTCACTGGGTGCTCCATACTTTCTGCCTTGTGCCACACCTAAGCTACTCTTAGAAAATCACCATTTCTTTATATTTCATATCTCTAGATCAATTATGACTGAATAGTGAGGTCGATCCTCACTGGGTGCTCCATACTTTCTGCCTTGTGCCACATCTAAGCTACTCTTAGAAAATCACCATTTCTTTATATTTCATATCTCTAGATCAATTATGACTGAATAGTGAGGTCGATCCTCACTGGGTGCTCCATACTTTCTGCCTTGTGCCACACCTAAGCTACTCTTAGAAAATCACCATTTCTTTATATTTCATATCTCTAGATCAATTATGACTGAATAGTGAGGTCGATCCTCACTGGGTGCTCCATACTTTCGGCCTTGTGACACATCTAAGCTACTCTTAGTAAATCATTATAGGTCACTTCGATGTGGTGTAATGATTAGTAAGCTTGTCTTGCTAGATCAGGGTGTTCAACATATTTTGTTGGAGGGCCACTTTTAAAAAGTTAATTCCATGGACCGAACATGCGGGAAACAATGAGGCTTTGGAGAGAATGTAAACAAAAAGGAAACTTATACTTAACATCAGGGAGAAGCACTGAAAATTCTGAGGCACGTAATGAGGAAGGAGGGCTTGGAAAATTTGATACTCACGGAACACGTTGAGAGAAAGAGGGACAGAGGAAAGCAACGCGTGACATATTTAATGGGCTTGGGCAAATGGACGGCAGAACAGGGTTTGGGAGAAATAACAAAAAGACGAAACTTATTAAAAGCTACAAGGGACAGGAAGATGTGGAGGATGATGATCGCATACGTCCTGAGAAGACATGGCACATAAAAATGAAAGAAGAATCTCTTTTTATATCAGTTGTATCGGGAAGCTTGAAAATGGCATTCATGAGAACAGCATTGATTTAAATGAACTGAAAATAATTTTTATGTAGAATTTTCATTCCAAACTATTTTCAAACGATGTTGTTATGAAAATGCTTGATTCATTCAACATTCTCATTCGGACTAGAGTTTTAACAAATGAGGGGTGGTGACAGTTGTTCGAACAAATCTTGAATGCGAATGACATTTAGTTTTACACCATCATATTATTGTTGCGTTTTAGGTGAAGCATTTCCTCTGGTATTTATTCTCTAGCTAGTTTTACACCATCCGATTATTGTTGCGTTTTAGATGAAGCATTTCCTCAGGTATTATTTTCTAGCTAGTTTTACACCATCCGATTATTGTTGCGTTTTAGATGAAGCATTTCCTCAGGTATTATTTTCTAGCTAGTTTTACACCATTCTATTATTGTTGCGTTTTAGATGAAGCATTTCCTCAGGTATTATTTTCTAGCTTGTTTTACACCATTCTATTATTGTTGCGTTTTAGATGAAGCATTTCCTCAGGTATTATTTTCTAGCTAGTTTTACACCATCCGATTATTGTTGCGTTTTAGATGAAGCATTTCCTCAGGTATTATTTTCTAGCTAGTTTTACATCATTCTATTATTGTTGCGTCTTAGATGAAGCATTTCCTCTGGTATTATTTTCTAGCTAGTTTTACACCATCCGATTATTGTTGCGTTTTAGATGAAGCATTTCCTCAGGTATTATTTTCTAGCTAGTTTTACACCATCCGATTATTGTTGCGTTTTAGATGAAGCATTTCCTCAGGTATTATTTTCTAGCTAGTTTTACATCATTTTATTATTGTTGCGTTTTAGATGAAGCATTTCCTCAGGTATTATTTTCTAGCTAGTTTTACACCATTCTATTATTGTTGCGTTTTAGATGAAGCATTTCCTCAGGTATTATTTTCTTTTTTAGTTTTACACCATTCTATTATTGTTGCGTTTTAGATGATTCCTCAGGTATTATTTTTTCTAGTTTTACATCATTCTATTTTGTTGCGTTTTAGATGAAGCATTTCCTCAGGTATTATTTTCAGCTAGTTTTACACCATCCGATTATTGTTGCGTTTTAGATGAAGCATTTCAGGTATTATTTTCTAGCTAGTTTTACACCATTCTATTATTGTTGTGTTTTAGATGAAGCATTTCCTCAGGTATTATTTTCTAGCTAGTTTTACACCATCCGATTATTGTTGCGTTTTAGATGAAGCATTTCTTCAGGTATTATTTTCTTTAGCTAGTTTTACATCATTCTATTATTGTTGCGTTTTAGATGAAGCATTTCCTCAGGTATTATTTTCTAGCTAGTTTTACACCATCCGATTATTGTTGCGTTTTAGATGAAGCATTTCCTCAGGTATTATTTTCTAGCTAGTTTTACACCATCCGATTATTGTTGCGTTTTAGATGAAGCATTTTCAGGTATTATTTTTCTAGCTAGTTTTACACCATCAGGTTATTGTTTTTTAGATGAAGCATTTCTCAGGTATTTTTTTTCATTTTTACACCATCCGATTATTGTTGCGTTTTAGATGAAGCATTTCCTCTATTATTTTCTAGCTAGTTTTACACCATCCGATTATTGTTGCGTTTTAGATGAAGCATTTCCTCTGGTATTATTTTCTAGCTAGTTTTACACCATCCGATTATTGTTGCGTTTTAGATGAAGCATTTCCTCAGGTATTATTTTCTAGCTAGTTTTACACCATTCTATTATTGTTGCGTTTTAGATGAAGCATTTCAGGTATTATTTTCTAGCTTGTTTTACACCATCCGATTATTGTTGCGTTTAGATGAAGCATTTCCTCAGGTATTATTTTCTATTTTTATTTTCTTTATTGTTGCGTTTTAGATGAAGCATTTCCTCTGGTATTATTTTTCTAGCTAGTTTTACACCATCCTATTATTGTTTTAGATGAAGCATTTCCTCTGTTTAGATGAAGCATTTCCTCAGGTATTATTTTCTGCTAGCTTGTTTTACACCATTCTATTATTGTTGCGTTTAGATGAAGCATTTCCTCAGGTATTATTTTTCACAGCTTTTTACACCATTCTATTATTGTTGCGTTTTAGATGAAGCATTTCCTCAGGTATTATTTTCTAGCTAGTTTTACACCATCCGATTATTGTTGCGTTTTAGATGAAGCATTTCCTCAGGTATTATTTTCTAGCTAGTTTTACATCATTCTATTATTGTTGCGTTTTAGATGAAGCATTTCCTCAGGTATTATTTTCTAGCTAGTTTTACACCATCCGATTATTGTTGCGTTTTAGATGAAGCATTTCCTCAGGTATTATTTTCTAGCTAGTTTTACATCATTCTATTATTGTTGCGTTTTAGATGAAGCATTTCCCTCATATATTATTTTCTAGCTAGTTTTACACCATCCGATTATTGTTGCGTTTTTAGATGAAGCATTTCCTCAGGTATTATTTTCTAGCTAGTTTTATCCATTCTATTATTGTTGCGTTTTAGATGAAGCATTTCCTCTGGTATTATTTTCTAGCTAGTTTTACACCATCCGATTATTGTTGCGTTTTTAGATGAAGCATTTCCTCAGGTATTATTTTCTAGCTTGTTTTACACCATTCGATTATTGTTGCGTTTTTAGATGAAGCATTTCCTCAGGTATTATTTTCTAGCTAGTTTTACACCATTCTATTATTGTTTGCGTTTTAGATGAAGCATTTCCTCAGGTATTATTTTCTAGCTAGTTTTACACCATCCGATTATTGTTGCGTTTTAGATGAGCATTTCCTCAGGTATTATTTTCTAGCTTCTAAACGGGGAGCATTCTTAGTTTTAGATGAAGCATTTCCTCAGGTATTATTTTCTAGTTTTTACACCATCCGTTTTGCGTTTTAGAAGAAGCATTTCCTCAGGTATTATTTTCTAGCTAGTTTTACACCATTCTATTATTGTTGCGTTTTAGATGAAGCATTTCCTCAGGTATTATTTTCTAGCTAGTTTTACATCATTTTATTATTGTTGCGTTTTAGATGAAGCATTTCCTCTGGTATTATTTTTCTAGCTAGTTTTTTACATCATTCTATTATTGTTGCGTTTTAGATGAAGCATTTCCTCAGGTATTATTTTCTAGCTAGTTTTACATCATTTTATTATTGTTGCGTTTTAGATGAAGCATTTCCTCAGGTATTATTTTCTAGCTAGTTTTACACCATTCTATTATTGTTGCGTTTTAGATG